CTACACAGACAATACTAGTTGAAACAATCTTAATTTAACAGCCAACGGAACTACTTGTTTAACTTTATATAAAGTTATATACTTTTTCATAAGTTTAATTATGTTTATTAATGAAAATATATAATTAAAAAAATTAATAACTGAATTGTTAAACTCTATTACAGTACTTACCCTCTATTGCATTCTCTACAACAGCAGTGATCAAGACACGAATGAACTGTGAGGTTTTACTTCTCTTTTCTCCTACATGAATCTAGATAAAAAACAATATGCACATTTTCAAGAACTGGAAAAATATTTAATAATTCTATTAACATCAACATTTTTTCCAATCACATTTATCTGTCCTTCCAAACCACATTAATCATACTTTGTTTTTTTAGTTTTTGAGTGACGGGTAAAGTAATTAAAATTCTATCAACTGAAACCAGAACTTATAAAGCTTTAGTCTAACCTTCACCAGGAGTTCACTTTCCAAAACCCTATACTAAATATTATTAGATTTATATATATGTACATTTCTTCACACATAATGAAATAAAGTACTTCTGTCCAAGTACTTGCATAACAGTAATGCAACAGAATTCTAACAAGAAACATAATGATCATTTGATAATAATTACATAACAGTAATCTCTCTGTTAACTAGATAAAACAGTATTTTAAATTCTTGTCAACATAACGATGAAAATGTATGAAAGACATGGTATTCTACAGACCAATAAGTTATGCCATGATGTTCAATTACACAATAATAAAACAATTACTGGGCAAGAGTATCAGAAAACAGATTGTTAGCTACACAAACTCATTAGAACTCTCAACTCATTAGAATAGCTTGAAATAAAGAAAAAGGATCACACCTATGCACAAAATTTAAACAGATTAATTAGAAATTACAGAATTTTAAAAATCAAATGCAGTGGAATTTCATATATAATTGTCTTTAATTCAACAACATTACATTTCTATCGGTTCTAAGTAACTAGTGCAACTTGAAATTGATAATTATTAGTACTAAATTATGCAGCAGTACCTGTCACCAATAACGTGCCGATTATTTGTTTGTTGAATTTTGTGCAAAGCTTCAGCTGTTGGGGTGTGTTATAAAGTGACAGTCAATCCCACTATTTGTTGGTAAAAGAGTAGTCCAAGAGCTGGTGGTGGATAGTGTTAACTATCACTACTAAAGTAGGAATGCCTAGTGCAGATAGCCCTCGTGTAACTTTGCGAGAAATTAAAAACAAAACAAACCTTGTCCACCTATCAAAATATAAAGTAGTATTTTGTGTGTGTGTGTCATTAATATTTTTTTGTCTTTTTATAATTTTATTGCTCACACCCATTTCCTTGACTTTAACCATTTAACAAGCATCGAAAACTTGCCACAACCCACAAAACATTTGCAGTAGTTTTCATGCCCTACACTTGAATTTTCCTTATTCTATCATTTTCATGCACACTATTTAACCATCTCAAGTGAGGTCACGGGTGAAAGGCCATGTCATCTCGTTTGTTGACTCGCATTTAAAATTTTATTGAACTACTGTTTCATGAATTTATGCCAATAAATTTAGTATCAAAATGTAGATTATAATTCAAATTGTAGTACTATACATTACTCAATTTCTTATTTAAAAGTAAATATTAAAAAACACAGATATACATTGACTTTTGTGTGTCACATGGTATGTTGAATGCAGCACTGATTCAAATTAGATGTTTATGAAGTCAAAATACTAAGTCTATAGTTTTGTATGAATTAGAAACTCAAATTACCAATACTGACAAGCTAGAATATAAAATAAGAGTCTCTTATCTTTTCAATTTGCTAAGATGTTGTTCACGTAATAAATCAAACACAGTGACTCCCCACCCACCTCTTTCAATTTTTGGAAATGTTCCCTTATATACACTTTCTTCTATATATATGACATGAATAACCAATCAGTAGCTTAGAATGTTCCCCTAGTGGCTTTCTCAGCCATTTTAAATTCTTAGGATGCCATTTCTTTCTTTTGAACCAAAAGTTCAAGGAGGTAGGGTGTGTCTTCGGTCTGCTCGAAATTTCATATTTATTAGACTAAAATACAT